AATGAGTGTTTTGCAGTTACGGTCTCGCGTGATCATAAATGGTGAGTGTTTTACGGTGCCAATCTTAGACAACTCGTACAAGTTTCCAACAATGTGACACGATAGACGTCATGCATGTGAATAATCTATGAAAAATACTCACGACACTGAAGCAATATACTCTTTAGCTGCGATTTCATCTTTGATTAGTCACATGTTTAAAACTAGCGAGTGTAAATAGAGACATATAGATGAACAAAACTCGGAGACAATGAGACATCCGGGAACAAAAAATATCGCCGTGAGTTGTAAACATCCAAGTTAGACAGGTATCGACTTGTTTGTTATGCATAAAATACCGAGGATACATTAACCACGTTGTTGCCAACAATGCTTGGCACGATCATTGATTACAAACTTCAATACAATCCCCTCAGAGATTAAAAGTGTCGCGAACTGCCTTTTCAAGAAAGACATTCTCATCATATCCGCGACCCCCTGCATGGTGCGACCTCTGATCTCAACAACAGGTGAATCGAGCCTGAATGGAATCGCTTGATTCTGAACACGTTACATCGTTATTAAACAGTCTACCCCGGGAGACTTTAAATGAAAGAGACGTCAATAGCATTTATGGGTCACCATATTTAAAGGAGGTTGTCGTACTTCTAATACTTTTGACCCTGATTTCGTGACTCTACGCTGCCAATCATGTACTACAGCTAAATTAAAGCGTGCCCAATCGTGTTCAAAGACTGCGGAAAACGTCTTTTCCTACCAAGACAAACTTAATTGTTACTGATTTAATCGTATTCGTAAAGGTTACACTTTGCGGAAGTCGCTCTGGCTTTAGGACCCCAATGACATTTTCACTACTACAACATAATTTTCAAAAATAGATTGCCATTCGGATTACAAACTGTTTTCCAACATGACGTCATTTTTGACTTAGTTGACCAGCCGACTGATCTAATGTGACTGTCTCGGCATATTGTAACTAAGCATTTAAGCGGTGATTGATGGACACTTGTCAGACCTGTTAGTTAACCGTGGCGTTTTCACAGTTAATAAGCGGACATAAAGCTACTTTTGGACATAAATCAGGTTTTTATCTCAAATTGTGATTGTCTACGTTAACACCTTACACCAGAACATTTGGACAATAACCACGAAACAACAAACCGAAAATCAGCCCACCTACGGCCTCGTACATTCCATTGTAGTATAAATCAGATACCAGCTTCTACGACGTACGTTAACGTTCTTGGCAACTCTGGTATTCGCACAGCACCGCCGACGGACAGTCAATATCCTACCGAGTTAGCGATAATGAAAACTAGCAAAATTTGATAATTTAATTATAGACAAAATCGATAAGAAACACAAAACACCTTATCATCTAACATGTGGTGCCAAGGCACATCCTCGTTCACAGTGTGTTTTTTAACGTTCATCACTGATGTGTATATTAGGTAAATACAGACCTGTGTACACAGATAGAATACACGTGAATTCACGTAGACTGTCAGAAATATGTAGTGTTGTAGATAAAATTCTTGTCGTTTAATAATTTGACTGAGCTGCCAAACTTTTTGATTTCGTTTTTTTTTTCGCTGCGTGTCTCATTCTTTGCGTGATAAAAACGAGGTGTTGCTTTCAAAATAGCAAATTCCGACACAGAGGGCGCTCGATCGATAATCACATACAAGCCCTTGTATGTGGTAAAACATACAAGAACAAAATAATAGCGCTTCTTGTGCTTCTGCATGCATGGCAACTAACGGTGTTTTTATAGATATTATAAACACTGTTTTAACTACTCAAAATCTATATAGCCGCCGCTATGTGTTATAGGACGCCTCTGAAGTGAATGCATTTGCTAAATAATCTTCTCGACTTGCCAATTAGTGTTGTCACTATGAAAAACTCAACTATTCATAAATGCACCTATTTACAAGGACAAATTTACAGAGGCAGTTGGCTGCGAGGCAGTGAGTCAGTTGGCTTCCAATCAGTGAGGGCGCTACAATTACTCGTAGTCCGATCTTGAGGGCGCTTTTGGCACTTCGCGGTTACCTGTACCTCTAACGCAGTCTTAATGACAACTTCAGAGCATGAGTAGTGTATACGTGAATAAAGTAGTTTGCTATCTCTTGTCATATTGTACAGGATACGAAACTCATGGAGTAAATGAATATACTGTAAAAGCCAATACGTCACGTGGTATCATTCATCCAATCACTAAATTATTCCAACTCATTAGAAACAATTTATTTCTTATCTAACAGAGTCAATTAAAATGACCAAATTAACACAATATCTTGAAAACAGAACTGTGTATCGGAGCATAGCTTTGACGATGTTGAATACTGAAGACTAGTTGTTGGAGAATTTCTTCAAATAATTGGGAATCGATAATCGATAATCAACCACGTCTTTACTGTGACCTGAACCAATATAATCATCTGATTGTTCTTCACACTGGGAAGCTAATTCTCAGGTTAGGTCGTTCTAAGGAACTGACTAAGTTGTAAATTGACGGGCACATTTACGAAAAGAAAGAACACGTTTATTGAAAACACAGTTTTCATTGTAATGAGTTTCATAGAACTTTATTAAAGGGAACCGGCCGATAAGTACGTAAAGTCACGACTCCATACCCCCGTCGACACCTTGAATCAGGCCGCCGTCACCCGTTGTATCTCAGAAATTGATGACCAGTTGGTGTTAAGTTGTCTCCCCCAATGGCAGCTCGTTTACGGCCAATTAAATATACGATGCGATGAAACATTAGTTCTTTTACTTCAAAATTGCCAGCAAAACACAATAGAATTTCCGACAGCCATCCACGGCAACTACCCGCGACTTAACCGAAACCGCGACTAACGGAGGCGCGGACTTAGCGAAGAGTCACCGTATATGAAATTATTTAATACACAACAGTAAGAGAAGTAATAGCCGCTGTCGGGCACTGTAATCGTCATACATCGAATGCATAGTCCTGCGCTATTATACATCCCAGCAACGACGTAGTAAAACATCTGTGCTCAGTTCATGTCATCACAATATTGTCATCACTCTTGGTAACATTTATAAACACATTATATTCAATTCATTGCTTGCTGGTAACCACGCGACTGACTGGAAGATAACCTTTGACGTAACTACATTTACATAAGCGTTTAATGTCAGTCATACACATCTTATATTTTACGGACATAGTATTAATTTTACGACAACACTGATTGATGAGCCGTGTGGTCGTTAAATTAAGTGTACGCCAGATCATTCTTGTTTATATTAATATGTGTGATTCCCCAGCTGATTATCGTTGTAGTGGCGCTTCTTATGATATTTACGTGAATGCTCGTTTCACTTTTTAGATGAAAATAATATGAGATTATCACCTCAATTGTTCGAAGAGCCGTTTAACAAGAGTGAACAGAAGATGAGTGAAAAGTATACAGCCAATGACGTCACCAGTGACGAATGCACATTTATTATTAATGTTATCGTCAACGCAACTGGTTGACATATTGTCTTGGTTCCAGACCGCTAAGCTGTCACTCTGAATAGTTATCCCTCTAGATCATCTCTGTAGATTTAGTTTTTAGTCGTTTTCGATGTAGAAACTGCGTTGTCATTATTTGAATGCGAATGTAACGTAAGGTCGAAGGCACCATCACTGAATCAGACACAAAATCTATGTTGTTGATATATGCTATAAAAATATAATATTACCATCGAGAAACAGCTTTCTCTCCACGGCAGGAAATCGCGAACGTTATGCAGACTTGGCAATAGGAGATTTTCTATTAGCCTGCCTAAATAAGTTTATAGTATGGACGTTTAATTGGTATGGATGGCAATTACTTGTTTCATGAATACTCCCGAAACAGAAGTGTATCATGTTGACTGTCTGGCTATGATTATCAAACCGCACAAACAACAGTTACTGTGTTAGTAATTGTCAATGTGGGACGATATATGTCGGGGTCGTATTTTATACATCCAATGTTGTAGATTTCAGAAGTGTAATTGTGATGCTGTTTCTCCCCACCAGCGTTCAGCCAATTTCTGTCTGCTTTCTCTTAGAGTTGGGCATGCGAAAAATAAACAAACATACAGGCAAGGTTGCGATTGACTCGGTCATATTTGTGATTTACCACATTTGTGTGGGTCGTTGAAACAACAAATCCTCCAGAAACATTCATTATTTTCATCTAGAAAATTACCTATTAAGTGTTTTCGCTTGCTGTATGTGCTTGGACGTCCTGATCGTAACTGAAATCTGCGATGAGTCTACAACGCATCATGGACACACTTGCCACACTGTCGATTTCATCCATCTGCACGAATGTTGTTCGTGTCGCGTTCATTATTGCGCATATCCCCGTTCATGCACAATAATGGGCAGGGCATCCTCCCTTATTCAATTCAAGCGAACACGTGAGATAAGATCTCGTATTAACAAAGATGTCGAATTTGATTTAACTAGGTAGTTTCTGGGATGATTGGAAGGCATTAAAAGACACTAAGAAGTCAAAGTCGGCATTTTGTCGATATCGCAGCCAGGTCAAAGTTCGCATTCATGCTTATCACTATGAGAACGCATTGAATTGTGAGAAAATCACCGTTTATTAAATCAAATCCCGCGAATGTGTGGCGCGACGACCACCGCTCTTTAATTAAGGCACACTTGAATTGTAGGTGATATAATTATTAGTTGTTGCGCGCATCCGAGCTTTATTATTTTGAACAAACACAGAATTTGGCAGTTGTTGTCCATCTTCACACAAGTAGTGTAAGTTCATCTTGTTGCCTAAAGCAGATGTTTATTCTTGCTATCATTATAAACATGGATGTCAAATTCAGTACCTATTGTTTTACATCAAACATCAGCACACCAGATGCTGACTACATATACTATTAACTATCTTATATGACACATTATACAATATATCCAACATGCACGTAGATTTCAGTGGACGGTCGTACATATAACACAACAAACACTCAACATACAGAAGTTACCTTTTGTAAGGTGTTTAATTTGCAGTTGTTAAGCTACATAACGCACAGATGCGTAAACTAAAATTTAAACTAAACTAAACTATAATATATGTAATTCTCATAACTGATATGTAAGTATATGGCATTATTTTTTTTTCAATTTTAAACGTGATCGTCATAACATTTTTGTCAAGTTGTTGATTAATTGTATAAATAAGTGAAATTGATATAATTTGTTGAAATATTATTTTCATAACGAAATATATAAATATATGATCGTAATTTGTCGACAACTGTTATACTCAAATTCACAATATTATCCAAGGTGGTATTCGTTTCAACGTCAAAATCACTTCAGCAACCATAATTATATGCTGGCGTTAGTTACAAGCAACTGAAAAAAAATACAAGTATGATGTAAATTTCATTTTTTGATATTTATATTTCCTACGTAAATAAATAAATAAATAAATAAATAAATAAATAAATAAACAAATAAATAAATAAATAAATAAATAAATATATATATAAATAAATAAATAAATAAATAAATAAATAAATAAATAAATAAATAAATAAATAAATAAATAAATAAATAAATAAATAAATAAATAAATAAATAAATAAATAAATAAATAAATAAATAAATAAATAAACTAATACCTATATGGGACTTGCCAACTTTTACCAAACTCCTCCGAGTCGTGGGCTGGGGTGCCATTCGGTTTGACGAAATCGTTGTCTGGAATACCATCAGCATTTCCCAACAAGCCACACACTTTACCGCGTAGACTGTCGTCATTAATGGCAATCATATTTTTATGTGGTTTCCCATTCCACGTGATCGTCAAGAATGGTTTGCGCAGTCGCACCACTGTCGTACCATTGGCGGAATATACATTACCAATCTTGTGTCCAATTGTTGCGGACGTATCAAACACACGATGTCCTCGAATCTGTGAAAGTAACCCCACACGAGTTAGATTATTGAATTATGTATATAAATTGGTCCCTGACTATTTAAAAATGCAGCTTTATGAAAATGAATAACCTACCTATCGGGTTTTCATATATTCACCAACGACTGTTACAAACTATATATCCACCACGAGTAATTTTGAATGCTGTTATATGCAGACCCTTAACACCTCAGCAAAGTTTTGTCTTGAGGTAATACATGGGTAAGTTTACGAGCACTAACACTAAATTCCCATAGACGGGTTTGAGTGATATGATATGATATGACATGCGCAGTTGCTTGATTTATCTCGAACGTTGGTTTGAAAATTGAATACTTACTTTTTAAATTTTAGTTGAAATTTAGCGTATTGGCACATTCGCACCACTGATCATTATAACAAAAATACCGAGAACAATCCAATTTCAATGTCAATGCACGCTTCTCAAATTTGGTCATATCGTCATGAGGAATTGGTATGGCGGAATATGGTTTGGGATTAAAGTAATTTCTAACAAACAACACGATCGGAATGAATGCAAGTCTTAAACTAGAACAATCTCTCTGAATGTTGGTCAAATCAAGCATAATGGATAAGCACTGAGCTGTAAAAAATAAAAGCGTATGTTTGAAAATTGATCAAAATGATGTTTCAGGTCTCCAACCAAAATGGTTCGTCGACATTCGTGGATACAAACGTTTTTTTATGCATCCGAGTCCGCATACGGCGAGAGATTAAGCGAAAAGAGAAAAGAAATTCTTCAATGAAAGACATTCTCTGCAACTTTACCTCGAATGTGTTATCTTCCAGCAACGTGACCGTGAGTTCACCTTCAATGTACAGACTTATTGAAACCATGCGTGTGCGACCTTTATACGGCGACTTCTCTTTGTTGCTTCGAAAGTACCCAGTGATGGCGAAAGAGGGGTTACTTTGTTGCACACAGTCTTGAACAAGAATGTAAGCACAGACGCCTTGGTAGTCAAATTTGTAACCATCGAATGTAAGCAAATGTGGGTCTCCTTCGATGAAAGCACCTGCATAAAATGAGCAATACGATTTATTTTTTCTTGGTTTTTGATTACTGACATACGGAGTATGGCGTGTGTATGGTCGATGGCGATGCGAGCATTCTTGAAATACTGCAGTACAACGCTGCACTGTCGGCATTGTGAAGCTAGGTGATATCAGTTTTATTATTGTAGCTATTTTTATCAGGATACATATCAAATATATATAACAATTAAACATTGAATTTATCGTTTATGTAGATGCGAAACATGTAATATTAAAAAAACACATTTGTCATCTGTTACCAGCGCGTCAGCACACTTATTCCCTTAGTGCGCCCGATGTATTATGAATAATAGAACAGTTCACACGGTTCTGAACCGAATGTACTAAATAAATGAATGGCAACCAATGGGTATTGAAACCGCCGACCTTTGGTATAAGTTAGTCAAACAAAAATACTGTAATTATGTCCTTACGGCAAGGCGAAACACGAAATGTAATTTATTTAATAAGCTAAATGATTCATGCTGACTTTTAAATGTTTTCTCTATATATCTATATGTAATTTAATTATTGTCTATATCACCATACTATGTAATACTATTATGGGTAATCTTAGTGGTCAATACCTAAAGATTTTGAATTTACCTTCATTTTAATGACAATCTCAGAATGCGTCAATAATTGTGGGGGAATCACATACATTTGAATATGTATATTAAATATTGTTTTTTGAAGTTATCTAAATGTTTTAAAGGTCGTCAAATCCTCGAGCGGCCAATTCCATTCTCCTAAATTCAACTCAACACACCGTGAGTTTTGTTTAGTGGCATAGTGTAACGTCTGTGAAAATCAAAACTCCGCTCTTAAAAATTATGTTGATTTAACGTACTGATAAGTCGTATATTGCTTGCAAAGTGCCGACATATTTAACGTCATTTCACTTTCTAATTTGTATAAGCGATCTGCATTAGTACCTTCGAAAACTACTAGATGCATGTAACTGGAGATGTTTACATGGCCCTGTATTTGTCATTAATTGCGTGATGAAAGAGATGGTTAATAACAAACGGAATTCATGTTAATAACATTTGCGAAGGGGTTTTAGGGACTACAATTTGTAGAACTAGAGTATTACCAACAAGAAAGCTAAATGTTAAATAAATGTTAAATAAAAGGAACTTTTAAAGAAACATACTTACACTTGTCAACACGGAGTATTTTGCTGGGTGTAGGACTGTTTGCGTCAGTCCAGTAAATAACATGGTCTATGGTGTTTGGTGAAAGAGGAAATAATTGCGAACCCGAGGGATTTTGTACCGTCATTTGATCAGTGTAAGCATTTGGAATCGGATCATTGACAGCAACAATGGCCAGATCAATTGTAACCGGTGCACTGATACCGCTGATGGCGACTCTTAATTGTTTCGCTTCGCACGTGTCCCAAAACGCGTAAACTGAGTAACCACCTATGAACAAAAAGAACACAGTGAGTGCTTGGTAATGATCACGCAATATATTCGCTACACCAATAACATTGTTTGACAACGTATTTCTAGTAGTTTATATTTATATTTATGTTGACCAACCGGCATACGAAGGAAGCGAATAGTTATAATTTTTGCAGGAAAAACAATCTGTGCTCTAGTGATGGAAGTAGAAAGTACTTCCATCTAACATTATATATGATATGTTAGTTTCTACCAGCAACACCCTGGCGAAGAAACGCGGCTTTTCAATCGATGGTCGTGGTCCTAGTCAGGTTATTGACTGGGCTACGTTGGTAGTTAGCGGAATGAAACAAGAGAGATATTGCGTTGTTGCTTAATTTTTGCTTAACAGTTTAGCCAAAAGTCAATATAAATAACAAATTAATAATAAAAATATTTTACATTTAGAAGAAAAATAGGGATACAGACGTGATCATTTTTCATACTTAGTATGAAAATATTGCAAAAATTGTCATTCATTTAAATGTTCTTTCATGGATCATTTACTATGGATTGCCTTGATCTGATAATTTGCTCCGAACTATATTGCTGGTTTCATGTTATCATCATCCTCACAGAAACGGTGCTTTGCTTTGCTTTCTAACGTCGCCAAGATCTACAAACATCTTCTGACTTATCACGAATTTATTCTTACATTCACGCTTTTGTCCTTGCTAATTATTTCAAATTGATTTCCAGTCACAGAAGTATATTCCTACTTTGATTTAATTACATTATATGTAGAAAATAATGATGTTGTACTTACTTGCACCTGATATTCCGCACATCAATAGGGCAATGGCAATAACAATACGTGTATACATCGTTGAGGCTCTACTCAGCATCAGTCAGGACTTTCTCTCAACGAGGTAAACAAAATTGTGAATGTGTCACAATTACCGAATATACATTACCTTCGTTAACATGTCACATTACAGTGATTGAACGCAGTAGGTGGGCGATATGTTACGGATGACCGTTCGGCTAACTGGGTGGAACACCGGACCCTGCGTCACTATACAAAACCAATAAGATTATAATGGAATATGGGGGCCCGTACGGGATACGCAACATTAATCAGCGAAGTATGTGTCATCCATATTACTGTATTTTTGATAAACCTGCATAACTAATTGGACCGGTCCAGTTTATTGAACAGATATTATAATTTGAATTTAGTTGACCTCGACTGTTTTTCAAAATCGAATAATACCATTGAATTACACTTTCTCGACGCGATATTTAATATCATACATAACAATTCTTAAACTTAAACAATTGAAACCAGCGATCAGACGATGTTTAAAATAATGTGGAACATATGGCAGTATTATTTTGAGGCGTTTAATTTCCACGAAAACATTTAATATGTTGTTGATTAGAAAGGGTGTGTAATATTTTATTGGACAACAGCCGTAACGGAAAACGATGTTCAATAAAATCATACACTATATCGGATTTAATGCGTATTATTTCCATAAATCCTACAATTGATTATTAGCTGATTTTATGATTATATTAATCTGATGCCATATTCTACTGCTATTGACACGTTAATGTGTGTCACATTAGGGGTGGATACGTTCACGTTGGACTATATGTGAAAAGACATGGGCTGCATATTTCATATTGTTCAAGAAACGCATGTGGCTACCAAATGAATACACATGTCTTACAATATGCAAATGTTCAATACATGCACTCAAACAGCTCACAGGCAACTGGACAGTTACATTTCGGTTGACTCAGACGTTGTTACAATATATAGCACAATTTTTATCCAAGATATATCACTGATTTTGTGGCTCGCTATCACATGATTAAAATATGAAGCAAATGTGAAAAACGCAGACAGTTTCCCTCAATGTTGTACTAGAAACGTACTAACTGAACAGCCGCTATTTCAGATACAGAGTGCCATACGACATACAAGTCTACACATTTTTTTTGAAATTATACCGACCGACGGCTCGGAAATAGAGAGAGCCTTTATCTGTAGTATATCAATTATTTATTAGGCATTATGTGTGACATAACAGGGAACGGCGTCGGAGAATGATGTACATACTTGGTATATTTAGTTCGTAAGCCTAAATGTTTAAAATGAATACAAAAACAACAAAAACAAAATTATCTGATCATAACAACGTAGAAGGCGTGTGTTAACCAACAATTTCAGTTATGTGTGAGAAACCTCACGAATAGCACTGACTTCCTACTCACAAATTTGACCGACTGGATTACCCCCCTGTTGATATAGATTCAGGCTCGTATTGCAGAGTAATTACATTGACTTATGTCATGTCTCTGGTGTTTTGAATCAGTGACAACATTTTATTTATCCCGAGTAGGCTATTCTGACACAGTAAGTTTCATACCGT